GGGTATCATCAGCGTACTGATGATACCCAGCTCTACCTCTCATTTTCAACCAATCCAGGTGAGGCAGTGGCTGTACTGAACTGGTGCCTGGCCGAGGTAATGGGCTGGATGAGGGCCAATAAACTGAAGCTCAATCCAGACAAGACGGAGGTCTTGTTGGTAGGCGGCTCAGGCTTTGGGGAAGGGGACCTTGATCTTGTCCTGAATGGGGTTGCACTCCCTCTTAAGGACAAGGTCTGCAGCTTGGGAATGCTCCTCGATCCAGAGCTTTTGCTGGAAGCTCAAGTAACAGCGGTGGCGAGGAGCGCTTTCTTTCAGCTTCGGCTGATTCACCAGCTGCGTCCCTACCTGGAGAACGACTGCCTGGCGCCAGTGACACGCATTGGTAACTTCCCGACTGGACTTCTGTAACGTGCTCTACATGGGGCTGCCCTTGAAAACAGTCCGGATACTTCAGTTGGTGCAAAACAGAGCTGCCAGGCTGCTGATGGGGACTGGGCGTTATGTTCACATGACTCCAGTCCTCAGTCAGCTTCACTGGCTTCCCATTGAAGTCCGGGCCCAATTCAAGGTGTTGGTGATGACCTATAAAGCCCTAAATGGCTTGGGTCCTGGTTACCTGAAGGAGCGCTTACATCCATATATGCCCAGCCGCCCCTTGAGATCGGCGGGAGAGGCCCTTCTCCGGGAACCCTCCATGAAAGAAATTAGGAGGGTGAGCACCCAGAGGAGGGCTTTCTCTACGGTGGCACCCAACCTATGGAATGCGCTCCCCAGAGAGGTCTGCCTGGTGCCATCGTTATTTGCTTTTCAGCCCCAGGCCAAGACCTTTTTATTTAAAGGTCATTTTAATTGTTCATTTTAATTATTGATTTTAACAACTTTGGCCAGGATGTCTCCAACTGTATTGTAGTAATGATATTTATTTATTTGTAAGCCGCCCCAAGGCTTAGGCAAATGGGGCGGCATATAAGTCTGCTAAATATATATATATATATAAACAAAAACCAAACTATATATATATATATATAAACAAAAACCAAACAAAACCCCAAGCACAGGAAAATGTGTGCTGAAAGTAGACTTAAGATTGCCTAATTTGTTTTTTTTCCTTTGCCTACTACATTTTTGGCAATGTTTTGGGGTCTTTGAAATATAATTCCAGATAAATGAAACCTGTAATTCTTGAATAGAGAGTATTGACAGTTTGGAATTAGAGATTTTACAAAAAGGAGGAGGAACAGTGACAAAAAGAATAAAGTCCAAGAACCATGTTGGACTCTTTGGGAAACTTTAATTGTCTGAAGAAGTGGGATAAAACTGCAAGAAATACTACTCAGTGGAGTATTACAGATCTTTTGCTGTCATTTTAATTAATTGATCAACATGTAGGTAAGGTTCATTCCACCTTCCTCTGACAGCATCAGAGCTGGTAAAATGCACTCTTATTTATGGAATTCTCTTGCTTGTCTACAGATTACATTGGATTCAGATGTACCCCCAAGGGAAGTGTGACCCATGGGAAGAACACTGCTGTGTCAGGTCAAGGACCCATCTCATGCAGTATTCTGTTCCCACAGCAGCCAAGCAGATGCTTGCCTGTTTGCTTGCTTATTCAGTTATTTAGTTATTTATTTATTTTGTTTCAAGGCTGTCTAGTAGCATCACACTCTCTGGGCAGCCATTACAATAAAATTACCAGTTAGTAATATGAATAAAATAATAAAATAAAAAAGGTAAAATAACATATAAATCAGCAAGAATAAAACTTAACGTAAGTTAGTAAATTAAAACATGCAAAGCACACCAGTAGGATATAAAACCAGTTGAACACCCTCCCCAGGATATTTTTATTGATTGATTGATTGATTTCTATCCTGCCTTTTTCCTGCAAAGGGCTCAAGGCAGCGTACATCATTCTCCTCCTCCACCTTACCCCCACAGCAACAACCCTGTGAGGTAGGTTGGGCTGAGAGTCTCTGACTGGCCCAAAGTCACCCAGTGGGCTTCACGGCTGAGCGGGGACTCGAACCCAGGTCGCCTGAGCCCCAGTCCCATGCTCTAACCACTACACCACACTCCTACAGTGAGTAAAGCATATCTTAGAGAACCTTCATAACAAAGGGAAGTCACTATCATGCCCAGCATTGCTTTCTGGTGGCAGTGATGCTTGGTCATCTGGCTAGGAAGTAAGAGAGGAAAGTGGAAGTGGGGGGGAGCAGGAAGCTGGGCAGAAAATTGAGAAGGTATTTTGGATTTCTACATTAGTTAATCCAAATTTACTTACTTATTGCATTTTTATGCCGCCCCATAGCCAGATATTCTCTGGGCAGCTCAGTGTAATCATAAAAATACAGATAAAAATAATAAAAATAATAACTAAAACCATAAAAGATAAAATAATAAAAATACAATATAATACAACCATATAAATACAACAGGAGGAAATAAACACAATAGAACCAATAAAACAACAACTAATAAACAATACAGCAATAGACCAGGAGCAAACCAATTTATAACCGTGTATGTCTTTAAGATTTGTTTGGGAATTAAATATGCTCAAATATAAACAGATTACCTTAGAACATTTTGTTCTAAGGGAAGGAAGAGAACAGTGGCAGAGCAATCAGTAATTGTATCTTTCACATTAAGTCATCAGTAATGTTAAGTTAAATA